TGTGTAGTGTATAGTGTAGTGTATAGTAGTGTAGTATGTAGTGTATAGTGTAGTGTATAGTATAGTGTATAGTGTGTATAGTAGTATAGTGTGTAGTGTATAGTGTAGTGTATAGTGTAGTGTATAGTGTAGTGTGTAGTGTAGTGTATAGTGTGTAGTGTATAGTGTAGTGTAGTATTTAGTGTAGTGTATAGTGTAGTGTATAGTGTAGTGTATAGTGTGAGTGTATAGTGTATAATGTAGTGTAGTGTATAGTGTGGTGTATAGTGTATAATGTAGTGTATAGTGTAGTGTATAGTGTAGTGTGTAGTGTAGTCTATCGTGTAGTGTATAGTCTAGTGTGTAGTGTAGTGTATAGTGTAGTGTATAGTGTAGCGTATAGTGTAGCGTATAGTGTAGTGTATAGTGTAGTGTATAGTGTAGTGTACAGTAGTGTATAGTGTAGTGTATAGTAGTGTATAGTGTATTGTATAGTGTAGTGTATAGTGTAGTTTATAGTTTAGTGTGTAGTGTATAGTGTGTAGTGTATAGTGTAGTGTATAGTGTAGTGTATAGTGTAGTGTGTACTGTAGTGTATAGTGTAGTGTATGATGTAGTGTGTAGTGTAGTGTATAGTGTAGTGTATAGTTTAGTGTGTAGTGTATAGTGTAGTATATAGTGTAGTGTATAGTTAGTGTATAGTGTAGTGTATAGTGTAGTGTGTAGTGTATAGTGTAGTGTGTAGTGTATAGTGTAATGTAGTGTATAGTGTAGTGTATAGTGTAGTATAGTGTAGTGTATAGTGTAGTGTAGTGTGTAATGTAGTGTATAGTTTAGTGTATAGTGTAGTGTATAGTGTAATGTATAGTGTAGTGTGGAGTGTATAGTGTAGTGTATAGTGTAGTGTATAGTGTAGTGTATAATTAGCGTAGTGTATAGTGCAGTGTAGTGTAGTGTGTAATGTAGTGTATAGTTTAGTGTATGGTGTAGCATATAGTGTAGTGTATAGTGTAGTGTGTAGTGTAGTATAGTGTAGTGGATAGTGTAGTGTGTATTGTAGTGTATAGTGTAGTGTATAGTGTAGTGTATAGTGTAGTATAGTGTAGTGTATAGTAGTGTAGTGTATAGTGTAGTGTATAGTGTAGTGTATATTGTAGTGTATACTGGAGTGTATAGTGCAGTGTATAGTGTAGTAGTGTATAGTGTAGTGTATACTGGAGTGTATAGTGTAGTGTATAGTGTAGTAGTGTATAGTGTAGTGTATAGTGTAGTGTATTCTGTAGCGTATAGTGTAGTGTATAGTGTAGTGTATTTTGGAGTGTATAGTGTAGTTTATAGTGTAGTGTATAGTGTAGTGTATACTTGAATGTATAGTTTAGTGTATAGTGTAGTGTATAGTGTAGTGTATAGTGTAGTGTATAGTGTAGTGTATAGTGGAGTGTATAGTGTAGTGTATAGTGTAGTAGTGTATAGTGTAGTGTATAGTGTAGTGTATAGTTGAATGTATAGTTTAGTGTATAGTGGAGTGTATAGTGTCGTGTATAGTGTAGTGTATAATTTCAGTTTTATTTATTTGGTATAGCCCTGTGAGCCATTCGGCTCTTGAATCGGGTGCAACCGCAACAAACAAAACAAACATGAACAAGAAACATCTTAAAGTGACTGCGCGCAAACAGAAAAATCCAGGAAAAAACAGTAAAGCCTTCCAGAAAAAGCACCGTATACCAATGCTGTGTATGCAGAAAATCCCCGTGGGATGCAAGTCAAACAATAACAACCATACGACAATTTAGATTTAAGTTATCAGTCTAACTCTGTACTACGACGAACAAATATGACTAAACCAAAACTTTTTGAATTCACCAAAATAAAGCTATCAACGCAATGTAACTGTGATCATAGGAACTGTGATTCAAGTTTAACAATAAACGATATACACACAACATGTACGACCAAACTTTGCAGCCATTAGCTGGCTTGCATGAGTCACTCCATAACAGCAGGAGTATCAGTAGGAGCATCAAAAATTGTTCAATGCACCTTTAAAGATCAGCAAACTATAATTAAAACACAAGATCATACTTTGCAGCGGTCATCCGGAGCGAAACATTTTATTTCAGGCCACTGAATAGCAGTGGCCGCTAGGGGTGTACAACTCCTCCAGAGCAGTTTTGAGTGAAGATCTCATTGGTAGTGATTCAAGTTGCAGTTTATTGGCGATAGCATTCCAGATCCTGGGGGCATCAACAGCAAAAGCCCTTCCTCCAGTATTTGTATGGCAATAGGGGAATGTGAGCTGGTAACTGAGCGAAGACCTGGGGTCAAATTTGTTCTTTGAAACAGAGAGGAGATCCAGCAGCAGGTAGTCTGCGGATTTTTTTTGTAAGTACATCGTGAATCAATAAGATCTGGTGCACAAGCCGTCGAACGTTAAGAGACGTTAAGTTTGACCCAATGTAGAGATCACAGTGGTGAGTCCTATATGGGCAGTTCAATGTGTAAAGGTTGTGCTGCTCACTTGAAAATAATGACTAAAATCCCACCACTCATTCATCTGCTTCATCTTTGATTGAAAAACGCTGGGTGAGACCTGCGGCAAGCGAGTGAGCTCACCCACTCGCTCACAAACCCACAACACTCACCCAAGTCAATCAATTCTCGCTCACCGGTCTATGGGTCTCTGTGTAAGTCTTTACCTCTCTGTAAGTCTGTGGGTCTCTGTGAGTCTACGGGTCTGGTAAGTTTACTGGTCTCTGTGTGAGTCCATGGGTCACAATGCGAGTCCATGGGTCTCTGTTATCATAATCTGTGTTTGAATGAGTCGATGGCTCAGTGTGAATGACTCCAAGTCTCTATGTTCGAGTGAGTTTATGGCTTTCTGTGCGAGTCTACGGCTCTCTGTGTGAGTACAACATGAACGTTGAGATTTAAAAGAGCAACGGAGTGACCTATAATATCTGAACCGGTCTGTACTGACAAGGGGTTGACAGGTGTGTAGTAGTGAAGTGTATAGTGTAGGTATCTCTACGAGTCTCTATACATCTCTATCTATCTCTACACATCTCTGAGTCTCCACACATCTCTATATAAACTCTTTGGTTCTATTCGGTAAAGTCACGTAGGTAAAAAATAAAATAACAAAAAAATCACGACGTTTCGGCCACAACACAAGCGGCCTTCATCAGGTGAAGGGACCGGACTGTCCAGAGGACAGCGCTGGAGTGAAGACAGCCAAGCCCTGGTCGGGTCCTTTAAGCTTATTGTCGCGGCATCTTTTGAGGAAGGTCAGCGTCTCGATGAGCCGTGACTTCTTATCCCGTTGTCTGTTGAAAGCTCTAACAGATAGGTGAAAGCCCTCCCCGTAGAGGTTATCAATTCTAGATTTGAAGCTTTCGTGACTGCAAGGATCCATCATACTCTTTGGTTCTATTCGGTAAAGTCACCTTCACCTGATGGAGGCCGCTTGTGTCGTGGCCGAAACGTCGTGATTTTTTTGTTATTTTATTTTTACCTACGTGACTTTACCGAATAGAACCAAAGAGTATGGATCCTTGCAGTCACGAAAGCTTCAAATCTAGAATCTCTATATATATCTGTAGCGCTGTAAATGGGCTAAGAAACTTACCTGCAGTAGCAGAAAGGGCCCACCAGGGGCAGTACCTTGGACCGGCATGAGGGTCGCTACATTCCCCAGCCCCAAAGCAGGGCGGTCTTTAGGGTGTTCTAGGATCCCCCAGAGACCCACCCCCCCCCCTCCACCCCCCACCAGAACTCTCTGGAAGGGAGGCGTGGCCAGGGGCTGACACACCTGGGAGGTGTATAAAAGCAGGACCTCTGTGGACGGGTCCCGGGGCCAGTTGAAGACTGAAGCCCAGCTAGCTAGGGCCCTTGGACTCAGCTGACCCGCCGCCCTTGCAAGGGCCGTGCCTGAGCGGGCCAGTGGTTCGGGACCTGTACCTTGGCTGGGCCGGGTCAGAACAGCCTCCCCTAGGTCACCCCTAGCCGGAGGACCCAGGGACCGTAAGCCCCAGTAGTAGGACACGTCAGCCCGGAGGCGGTACCTCCTTAGGCAGCTGAGTGAAGGCGCCGTAACCCCTTCAGGTGTTAAGGGTTCGCTACGCTCTGCGTTGTGGCATTGTGTTAATGAGCGTGTTGCCTCTAAACGTTCCTCTCCACCCTCGTGAAACCGACGCTACTCATCCACACACGACTCTATGGATCTCTACACAATACCTACGTATCTTTACACATCTCTAGGAGTCTCTGTACATCTCTGCACTTCGCTACGTATCTCAACGAGCCTCTACGCATGTCTACGAATTGCTATACATCTCTACGAGCCTCTATATATCTCTGTGCATCTCTATGTATCTCTGTGTATCTCTATGTATCTCTACGAGTCTCTATGTATCTCTACGAGTCTCTATGTATCTCTGTATATCTCTATGTATCTCTGTGCATCTCTATGTGTCTCTACGAGTCTCTATGTATCTCTACGAGTCTCTATGTATCTCTGTATATCTCTATGTATCTCTGTGCACCTCTATGTGTCTCTACGAGTCTCTATGTATCTCTATGAGTCTCTATGTATCTCTACGAGTCTCTATGTATCTCTGTATATCTCTATGTATCTCTGTGCATTTCTATGTATCTCTACGAGTCTCTATGTATCTCAACGAGTCTCTATGTATCTCTGTATATTTATATGAGTCTCTATTTATCTCTGTATATCTCTATGTATCTCTACGAGTCTCTATGTATCTCTATGTGTCTCTATGTATCTCTATGGGTCTCTGTGGGTCTCTATGAGTCTCTATATATCTCTATGTATCTCTGTGCATCTCTATGTATCTCTACGAGTCTCTACGTATCTCTATGTATCTCTACGAGTCTCTACGTATCTCTACGAGCCTCTATGTATCTCTGTATATCTCTATGTATCTCTGTATATCTCTATGTATCTCTGTATATCTCTATACCCCTCCTCTCCCCCCCGACCCTTCTCTCTCTCTCTCCCCCAGCACGATGTCCGAGAGGCAGATCCCCTTCTCCAGACCCCTGTTCCGCCACCCCAGCTGGGACCCCTTCCGTGAGTGGATGCCCCCGCAAGTGCCGCTGAGGCTGCCCGAGCAGGACTTTGGGATGGCCGCTCCCTACCCCAGCCTGGCCTCCTGGGACGCGGCCGGCCTGGGCCTCCCCGACTGGGCCCGTGGCGCCTGGCCCTCGTACACGCGGTGAGGTGGCGGCGGCGGCGGCGGCGGCGGAGGTGTTTGTGGAGGAGATAGTGGAGGTGGTGGAAGTGGTGATGGAGATGGAGGAGGATTAGGAGGTGGCGGTGGTGGTGCTGGAGGTGATGGAGGTGGAGGAGGGGGTGGTGGCGATGGAGGTGATGGTGGTTTTAGAGAGGGATGTTGGAGGTAGTGGAGGTGGGGGATGAAGTGGAGGTGAAGGAGGAGGTGGTGGAGGGGATGGTGGTGGTGGTGGTGGTGGTCTTGGTGGAGGAATAGTGGGAGGTGATGGTGGTGGTGGTGGTGGTGCTGGTGGCGGCGGCGGCGGCGGTGGCGGTGGCGGTGGAGGTATTTGTGGAGGAGATAGTGGAGGTGGTGGAAGTGGTGATAGAGATGGAGGAGGATTAGGAGGTGGTGGTGGTGGTGGTGCTGGAGGTGATGGAGGTGGAGGAGGGGGTGGTGGCAATGGAGGTGATGGTGGTTTTAGAGAGGGATGTTGGAGGTAGTGGAGGTGGGGGATGAAGTGGAGGTGAAGGAGGAGGTGGTGGAGGGGATGGTGGTGGTGGTGGTGGCGGCGGTGGTGGTGGAGGTGGTGGCGGAGGGAGTTATAAAGAGGGAGGTTGGAGGAGATGGCGGTTTTGGTGGAGGAGGTGGTGGAGAGGGAGAATGTAGGCGATAGAGGAGGCGGTGGAGGTGGTGGAGGTGGTGGTGGAGACGGTGGAGGAGGTAGAGGAGGAGGAGGCTGTGACGCTCGTTCCCTGTGGAACGAGCGGACTACATCGGCGCTGCGGTGGCTAGGGTCGCGGGTTCGATCCCCGACCCAGCGAGATGTTAACTACCTCGCCTGGTCTGCAGGAGGTCGTGGGTCCGATCCCTGACCCAGCGAGATGTTAACTACCTCGCCTGGTATGCAGGAGGTCGTGAGTCCGATCCCCGACCCTGCGAGATGTTAACTACCTCGCCTGATGTGCAGGAGGCCGTGGGTTCGATCCCCGACCCAGCGAGATGTTAACTACCTCGCCTGGTATACAGAAGGTCGTGGGTTTGATCGCCGACACTGCGAGATGTTAACTATCTCACCTGGTATAGAGAAGGTCGTGGGTTCGATCCCGTGACCCTGAAGATGTCTACTACTGATGTATATTTGGAGTATGTGTGTGTGTGTCTCTTTTTCCCCCCGGTGAGATGTTAACTACCTCGCCAGGGTTCAGTCCCGACCTCTGACACCTGCTGTGTATTTGGAATGTGTCTCTCTCTCTCTCTCTGTTACCGTGGAGATGTTAACTACCTCGCCTGGTATACAGGAAGTCCTGGGTTCGATGCAGACCCCTGACGCCTGCTGTGTATTTGGAGTGCGTGTCTCTCTCTCTCTCTCTCTGTTTCTGTGGAGATGTTAACTACCTCGTCTGGTATACAGGAAGTCCTGGGTTCGATCCAGACCTCTGACGCCTGCTGTGTATTTGGAGTGCGCGTGTCTCTCTCTCTGTTACCGTGGAGATGTTAACTACCTCGCCTGGTATACAGGAAGTCCTGGGTTCGATCCCGACCCCTGACGCCTGCTGTATATTTGGAGTGCGCGTCTCTCTCTCTGTTTCTGTGGAGATGTTAACTACCTCGCCTGGTATACAGGAAGTCCTGGGTTCGATGCAGACCCCTGACGCCTGCTGTATATTTGGAGTGTGCGTGTCTCTCTCTCTCTCTCTGTTTCTGTGGAGATGTTAACTACCTCGCCTGGTATACAGGAAGTCCTGGGTTCGATCCCGACCTCTGACGCCTGCTGTATATTTGGAGTTGTGCGTCTCTCTCTCTCTCTCTCTATCCGTTGTCGCGTGCGGTTTTTCCGCACCACCTTGAGAATCAACATCAACATCACGGGTTTCAGAGTATCTGCGTGCTGCGACCCATTTCCACACCGCGATGATATTCGACGCATGAGTCCAGATGTGAAGTTTTTCGTGACCGCAGGGATCCATGCTCTTTGGTTCTTTCGGCAAAGTCCACGTGGGTGAAGAAAATAAAATAAAATAAATTAAATCACGACGTTTCGGGCGCAACACAGGCACCCCGTCATCAGGTGGTACGACCCACCTGATCAAAGAGCTTTAGCCACGTGCTTGAGCTATCATTTGCGATAGCCCAGGTCGAATCTGCCAACGAAGAGATGCACGGTAGTTCAGTGGCGCCGTACCTGGTCGATCGAAATAGTTTTAGTTGATTCTATGGGTCTCCATGTCTCGCTATGGGTCTATATGTCTCTCTATATGTCTCTCTGTGTCTCTCTATGGGTCTCCATGTCTCGCTATGGGTCTCCATGTCTCTCTATGTGTCTCTCTGTGTCTCTATGTGTCTCTCTGTGTCTCTATGTGTCTCTCTGTGTCTCTATGGGTCTCTCTGTGTCTCTATGGGTCTCCATGTCTCTATGGGTCTCCATGTCTCGCTGTGGGTCTCCATGTCTCGCTATGGGTCTCTATGTCTCTCTATAGGTTTCTATGTCTCTCTATGTGTCTCTCGGTGTCTCTATGGGTCTCTCTGTGTCTCTATGGGTCTCTCTATGTCTCTATGGGTCTCCATGTCTTACTATGGGTCTCTATGTGTCTATGAGTCTCTATGTGTCTCTATGGGTCCATGTGTGTTCCTATGGGTCTCTATACATCTCTGTGTATATATACGTCTTTACATCTTTCTACATATTTCTATGGGTCTCTATGTCCCTCTATAGGTCTCTATGTCTCTCTATGTGTCTCTCTGTGTCTCTATGGGTGTCTTTGTGTCTCTATGGGTCTCTATGTGTCTCTCTGTGTCTCTATGTGTCTATGAGTCTCTATGGGTCTCCATGTCTCGCTATGGGTCTCCATGTCTCTCTATGTGTCTCTCTGTGTCTCTATGTGTCTCTCTGTGTCTCTATGTGTCTCTCTGTGTCTCTATGGGTATCTCTGTGTCTCTATGGGTCTCCATGTCTCTATGGGTCTCCATGTCTCGCTGTGGGTCTCCATGTCTCGCTATGGGTCTCTATGTCTCTCTATAGGTTTCTATGTCTCTCTATGTGTCTCTCGGTGTCTCTATGGGTCTCTCTGTGTCTCTATGGGTCTCTCTGTGTCTCTATGGGTCTCCATGTCTTACTATGGGTTTCTATGTGTCTATGAGTCTCTATGTGTCTCTATGGGTCCATGTGTGTTCCTATGGGTCTCTATACATCTCTGTGTATATATACGTCTTTACATCTTTCTACATATTTCTATGGGTCTCTATGTCCCTCTATAGGTCTCTATGTCTCTCTATGTGTCTCTCTGTGTCTCTATGGGTGTCTTTGTGTCTCTATGGGTCTCTATGTGTCTCTCTGTGTCTCTATGGGTCTCTCTGTGTCTCTATGGGTCTCCATGTCTCGCTATGGGTCTCCATGTCTCTCTCTATGTGTCTCTATGGGTCTCTCTGTGTCTCTCTGTCTCTCTATGTGTCTCTCTGTATCTCTATGGGTCTCTCTGTGTCTCTATGGGTTTCCATGTCTCGCTATGGGTCTATACGTGTCTCTATGTGTCTCTCTGTGTCTCTATGTGTCTCTCTGTGTCTCTATGGGTCTCTCTGCGTCTCTATGGGTCTCCATGTCTCTCTATGGGTCTCTCTGTGTCTCTATGGGTCTCCATGTCTCGCTATGGGTCGCTATGTCTCGCTGTTGGTCTCTATGTCTCTCTATAGGTCTCCATGTCTGTCTATGTGTCTCTCTGTGTCTCTATGGGTCTCTCTGTGCCTCTATGGGTCTCCATGTCTCGCTATGGGTCTCTATGTCTCTAAATAGGTCTCTATGTCTATCTATGTGTCTCTGTGTGTCTCTATGGGCCTCTCTGTATCTCTATGGGTCTCTCTGTGTCTATACGTATCTCTATGTGTCTCTATGGGTCTCTCTGTGTCTCTATGGGTCTCCATGTCTCTATGGGTCTCCATGTCTCGCTATGGGTCTCCATGTCTCTCTATGGGTCTCTATAGGTCTCTATGTATCTCTATGTCTCTCTATGGGTCTCTATGTGTCTCTATGTATCCCTATGTCTCTCTATGGGTCTCTATGGGTCTCTATGTATCTCTATGGGTCTATATGTGTCTCTATGGGTCTCCATGTCTTACTATGGGTCTCTATGTGTCTCTGTGTGTGTGTATATATACGTCTTTACATCTTTCTACATATTTCTATGGGTCTCTATGTATCTCTATGGGCCTTTATGTGTCTCTATGTATCTCTATGGTTCTCAATGTATCTCTATTAGTGTCCGTGTCTCTGTGGGTCTCTATATCTCTCTCTGGGTTTCCATGTGTCTGTGTGGGTCTATATATATCTCTATGAGTCTATATGTGTCTCTGTGGATATCTATGTATCTATATAAGTATCTGTGTCTCTATGTGTCTCTATGTGTCGCTGTGGGTCCCTATGTATCTCTATGGGTCTCTGTGGGTCTCTATGAGTCTCTATGAGTCTCTATGTGTCTCTATGTGTCTCTATGGGTCTCTATGTGTCTCTATGTATCTCTATGGTTCTCATATCCCTCTCTCCCATATCCCTCCGTCCTATATCCCTCACTCCCATATCCCTCACTCCCATATCCCTCACTCCCATATCCCTCACTCCCATATCCCTCACTCCCAAATCCCTCACTCCCATATCCCTCACTCCCATATCCCTCACTCCCATATCCCTCACTCCCATATCCCTCACTCCTATATCCCTCACTCCTATATCCCTCACTCCTATATCCCTCACTCCCTCACTCCCATATCCCTCACTCCCATATCCCTCACTCCCATATCCCTCACTCCTATATCCCTCACTCCTATATCCCTCACTCCCTCACTCCCATATCCCTCACTCCCATATCCCTCACTCCCATATCCCTCACTCACATATCCCTCACTCCCATATCCCTCACTCCCATATCACTCCCATATCCCTCACTCCCATATCCTTCACTCCCATATCCCTCACTCCCATATCCCTCACTCCCATATCACTCCTATATCCCTCACTCCCATATCCCTCACTCCCATATCCCTCACTCCCATATCCCTCACTCCCATATCCCTCACTCCCATATCCCTCACTCCAATATCCCTCACTCCCATATCCCTCACTCCCATATCCCTCACTCCCATATCCCTCACTCCCTCACTCCCATATCCCTCACTCCCAAATCACTCACTCCCATATCCCTCACTCCAATATCCCTCACTCCCATATCCCTCACTCCCATATCCCTCACTCCCATATCCCTCACTCCCTCACTCCCATATCCCTCACTCCCATATCCCTCACTCCCATATCCCTCACTCCCATATCCCTCACTCCCATATCCCTCACTCCCTCACTCCCATATCCCTCACTCCCATATCCCTCACTCCCAAATCCCTCACTCCCATATCCCTCACTCCCATATCCCTCACTCCCATATCCCTCACTCCCATATCCCTCACTCCCATATCCCTCACTCCCAAATCCCTCACTCCCATATCCCTCACTCCCATATCCCTCACTCCCATATCCCTCACTCCCATATCCCTCACTCCCATATCCCTCACTCCCATATCCCTCACTCCCATATCCCTCACTCCCATATCCGTCCCTCCCATATCCCTCACTCCCATATCCGTCCCTCCCATATCCCTCACTCCCATATCCCTCACTCCCATATCCCTCACTCCCATATCCCTCACTCCCATATCCCTCAATCCTATATCCCTCACTCCCAAATCCCTCACTCCCATATCCTTCACTCCCAAATCATTCACTCCCATATCCCTCACTCCCCCACTCTCTCCACTCCCCCCCTCCCCGTCCCCCACCCGCTCCCTCCCCTCCATCCCCTCCACCCCCTCCACTCCCTCTCTCCCCCCTCCACCCCCCTCCACCCCCCTCCACCCCCCTCCACCCCTCCCCCCTCCACCCCCTCCACCCACCCCCCCCCACCTCCCCCCCCCCACAGCTCCAGCCTCTTCGGCCCACCGAGTCCCATCCCGGGCCAGGCGGCCTCGCCGCCGTCTGCGACGGCCTCCCAGGGTCCCGGCGCTCCGGCCCCGCTGGCCGGGGGGGGTCCCCTGGGGGGTCCCCTCGGGGGCCCCCCGGCGGCGGCCCTGGCCCTGGGCCGCCCGCTCAGCTCGGGGGTCTCCAGCCTGCGGCACACCTCGGACCGCTGGCGAGTCAGCCTGGACGTGAACCACTTCTCGCCCGAGGAGCTCGTCGTCAAGACCGCGGGGGGATACGTAGAGATCAGCGGTCAGTGGCCGGAGGGGGGTCCACACCCCCTGGAGCAATGGGGATAAGCCCCAGGGGCAATGGAGATGAGCCCCTGGGGCAATGGAGATGAGCCCCTGGGGCAATGGGGATAAGCCCCAAGGGGCAATGGGGATGACCCCCGGGGCAATGGGGATGAGCCCCCTGGGGCAATGGGGATAAGCCCCAAGGGGCAATGGGGATGAGCCCCCTGAGGCAATGGGGATGAGCCCCCTGGGGCAATGGGGATGAGCCCCCTGGGGCAATGGGGATAAGCCCAAGGGGCAATGGGGATGAGCCCCCTGAGGCAATGGGGATGAGCCCCCTGGGGCAATGGAGATGAGCCCCTGGGGCAATGGGGATGTATCCCAGGGGCAATGGGGATGAGCCCCTGGGGCAATGGGGATGAGCCCCCTGAGGCAATGGGGATGAGCCCCCTGGGGGCAATGGGGATGAGCCCCCTGGGGCAATGGGGATAAGCCCCAAGGGGCAATGGGGATGAGCCCCCTGAGGCAATGGGGATGAGCCCCCTGGGGCAATGGGGATAAGCCCAAGGGGCAATGGGGATGAGCCCCCTGAGGCAATGGGGATGAGCCCCCTGGGGCAATGGGGATGAGCCCCTGGGGCAATGGGGATGAGCCCCCTGGGGCAATGGGGATGAGCCCCTGGGGTAATGGGGATGAGCCCCCTGAGGCAATGGGGATGAGCCCCCTGGGGCAATGGGGATGAGCCCCCTGGGGCAATGGGAATGAGCCCCCTGAGGCAATGGGGATGAGCCCCTGAGGCAATGGGGATGAGCCCCCTGTGGCAATGGGGATGAGCCCCTGGGGCAATGGGGATGAGCCCCCTGGGGCAATGGGGATGAGCCCCCTGAGGCAATGGGGATGAGCCCCTGGGGCAATGGGTTTGTGTCCCAGGGGCAATGGAGATGAGCCCCTGGGGCAATGGGGATGTGTCCCAGGGGCAATGGGAATGTGCCTCTGGGGCAATGGGGATGAGCCCCCTGGGGCAATGGGGATGAGCCCCCTGGGGCAATGGGGATAAGCCCAAGGGGCAATGGAGATGAGCCCCCTGGGGCAATGGAGATGAGCCCCCTGGGGCAATGGGGATGAGCCCCCTGAGGCAATGGGGATGAGCCCCTGGGGCAATGAGGATGAGCCCCTGAGGCAATGAGGATGAGCCCCTGAGGCAATGGGGATGAGCCCCTGGGGCAATGGGGATGAGCCCCTGGGGCAATGGGTTTATGCCCCTGGGGCAATGGGGATGAGCCCCCTGGGGCAATGGGGATGCGCCCCTGAGGCAATGGGTTTGTGACCCCTGGGGCAATGGGGAGTCACTGGGGACTTCACTGTACCACAGTGGTAACTTTATTATTTTTACAATAATAATAAAGTCAAATTAGTAAAATAAATCATCAAAATACTTAATTTTTATTATTTTATTTCCATTATTTTATTATGTTTTATTTTTATTATTTTAAATATTAAAAATTAAACGTAACAAAATAATTTTATTTCATTATGTTTGATTTTAATTATTTTATTTCCATTCTACGTGGTGACTTTACCGAAAGAGCCAAGAACACCTTCTACTTAAATAAACTTTTTAGTAAATGTTTTCTCCTACAACATCAGAGTGTCAGCGCCACATTAAACGCGCCCTACAACGACAATAGTTTGAAGCCATTTGTAGTGTGTTTTATTTTTATTTTTAGGGGAGCGGGGGGGCAGAGCTTTGTGACGTCATTTTTGAGGGGGGGGGTCTGAATTTTCGTGACGCCGCGTGACGAGGGTCAAAAATCGTCTAAAATCGCGTGATGTCATTCATGGGCAGCCCCTGATGACCTAGTGACCTGGTGCACCAATGACCTGATGCCCCGCTGACCCGATGACCTCATAACGACAGAATGGCGACAGAATGACAGAATGACGACAGAATGACGACAGAATGACGACAGAATGACGACAGAATGACAGAATGACGACAGAATGACGACAGGATGACGACAGAATGGCAGAATGACGACAGAATGACAGAATGACGACAGAATGACAGAATGGCGACAGAATCACGACAGGATGACGACAGGATGATGACAGAATGATGACAGAATTACAGAATCACGACAGAATGACGACAGAATGGCAGAATGACGACAGGATGACAGAATGAAAGAATAACGACAGAATGACGACAGAATGACAGAATAACGACAGGATGACGACAGGATGATGACAGAATGACGACAGAATGACAGAATGACGACGCCATGACAGAATGACGACAGAATGACAGAATGACGATATGATGACGACAGGATGACGACAGGATGTGCTAATGACGCGGTGCCCCCCATGACCTTGTGATGTCGCCCCCCCACCCCCCCAGGCAAGCATGAGGAGCGTCAGGATGAGCACGGCTTCGTGGCCAGATGCTTCACTCGCAAATACATGTGAGTGACCCCCCCCTCGCCCCCCACACACCCGTCACCATGGTGACCCCCAAGGTGACCCCAAGGTGACCCCCAAGGTGACCCCCCCTCGCCCCCCACACACCCACCCGTCACCATGGTGACCCCCAAGGTGACCCCAAGGTGACCCCCAAGGTGACCCCCCCTCGCCCCCCACACACCCACCCGTCACCATGGTGACCCCACACACACACCCGTCACCATGGTGACCCCCAAGGTGACCCCACACACCCACCCGTCACCATGGTGACCCCCAAGGTGACCCCCAAGTACATGTGAGTGACCCCACACACACACCCGCAACCATGGTGACCCCACACACCCACCCGTCACCATGGTGACCCCACACACCCACCCATCACCATGGTGACCCCCAAGGTGACACCCAAAGGTGACACCCAAAGTGACCCCCAAAGTGACCCACAAGGTGACCCACAAAGTGACCCCCAAGGTGACACCCAGTGACCCCAAGGTGACTCCCAAGGTGACCCCTAAGGTGACCCCCAAGGTGACCCCCAAGTTGACCCCCAAGGTGACCCCTAAGGTGACCCCTAAGGTGACCCCCAAGGTGACACCCAAGGTGACCCCCAAGGTGACCCTTATGGTGACCCCCAAGGTGACCCCCAAGGTGACCCCCAAGGTGACCCCCAAGTTGACCCCAAGATGACCCCCAAGGTGACCCCCAAGTTGACCCCAAGGTGACCCCCAAGGTGACACCCAAGGTGACCCCCAAGGTGACACCCAAGGTGACCCCAAGGTGACCCCCAAGGTGACCCCCAAGTTGACCCGGAAAGTGACCCCCAGGGTGACCCCCAAGGTGACCCCAAGGTGACTCCAAGGTGACACCCAAGGTGACCCCCAAGTTGACCCTCAAGGTGACCCCCAAAGTGACCCCCAAGGTGACCCCCAAGGTGACCCCCAAGGTGACCCCCTAGGTGACACCCAAGGTGACACCCAAGGTGACCCCAAGGTGACCCCCAAGGTGACCCCCAAGGTGACCCACAAGGTGACCCGCAAGGTGACCCCCAAGGTGACCCACAAGGTGACCCCCAAGGTGACCCCCTAGGTGACACCCAAGGTGACACCCAAGGTGACCCCAAGGTGACCCCCAAGGTGACCCCCAAGGTGACCCACAAGGTGACCCGCAAGGTGACCCCCAAGGTGACCTCTCTGACCCCATGGTGGCCACACACTGACCTCCAATGACCCCACGCTGAACTATTTGACCCCACGGTGACCTCCCGTGACCCCACGGTGACCTCCCGTCACCTCACGGGGTCCTCACCGTGTCCTCCCCCCTAGAACCCCCAGCCCCTCCCCCACTGCCCCTCCACCGCTCGTCTCTACCACTACCCCAGGCTGCCCCCCAACATAGACACAGACCACGTGGTGTCGTCCCTCTCTCTCTCTAGACGAGATGCTCACCCCCCCTCCCCCCCCATGCCCCCCCCCCCCCAGGCTGCCCCCCAACATAGACACAGACCACGTGGTGTCGTCCCTCTCTCTCTACGAGATGCTCACCCCCCCACCCCCCACCCCCCACCCCCCACCCCCCCCACACCCCCCAGGCTGCCCCCCAACATAGAGGCAGACCACGTGGTGTCGCCTCTCTCTCTCTAGACGAGATGCTCACCACCCCACCCCCCCTCCACCCCCCAGGCTGCCCCCCAACATAGAGGCAGACCACGTGGTGTCGTCTCTCTCTCTCTAGACGAGATGCTCACCACCCCACCCCCCCTCCACCCCCCAGGCTGCCCCCCAACATAGAGGCAGACCACGTGGTGCCGTCCCTCTCTCTCTAGACGAGATGCTCACCACCCCACCCCCCACCCCCCCCCCCCCCAGGCTGCCCCCCAACATAGAGGCAGACCACGTGGTGTCGTCCCTCTCTCTCTAGACGAGATGCTCACCACCCCCACTCCCCCCCTCCACCCCCCAGGCTGCCCCCCAACATAGAGGCAGACCACGTGGTGTCGTCCCTCTCTCTCTCTAGACGAGATGCTCACCCCCCCTCCCCCCCCATGCCCCCCCCCCCAGGCTGCCCCCCAACATAGAGGCAGACCACGTGGTGTCGTCCCTCTCTCTCTCTAGACGAGATGCTCACTCCCCCACTCCCCCCCTCCACCCCCCAGGCTGCCCCCCAACATAGAGGCAGACCACGTGGTGTCGTCCCTCTCTCTCTCTAGACGAGATGCTCACCCCCCCACTCCCCCCCTCCACCCCCCAGGCTGCCCCCCAACATAGAGGCAGACCACGTGGTGTCGTCCCTCTCTCTCTACGAGATGCTCACCACCCCACCCCCCACCCCCCACCCCCCACACCCCCCAGGCTGCCCCCCAACATAGAGGCAGACCACGTGGTGTCGTCCCTCTCTCTCTAGACGAGATGCTCACCACCCCACCCCCCACTCCCCCTCCACCCCCCAGGCTGCCCCCCAACATAGAGGCAGACCACGTGGTGTCGTCCCTCTCTCTCTCTAGACGAGATGCTCACCCCCCCACTCCCCCCCTCCACCCCCCAGGCTGCCCCCCAACATAGAGGCAGACCACGTGGTGTCGTCCCTCTCTCTCTCTAGACGAGATGCTCACCCCCCCACTCCCCCCCTCCACCCCCCAGGCTGCCCCCCAACATAGAGGCAGACCACGTGGTGTCGTCCCTCTCTCTCTAGACGAGATGCTCACCACCCCACTCCCCCACCCCCCCCCCCCCACCCCCAGGCTGCCCCCCAACATAGAGGCAGACCACGTGGTGTCGTCCCTCTCTCTCTCTCTAGACGAGATGCTCACCACCCCACCCCCCACTCCCCCCCTCCACCCCCCAGGCTGCCCCCCAACATAGAGGCAGACCACGTGGTGTCGTCCCTCTCTCTCTCTAGACGAGATGCTCACCACCCCCACTCCCCCCCTCCACCCCCCAGGCTGCCCCCCAACATAGAGGCAGACCACGTGGTGTCGTCCCTCTCTCTCTACGAGATGCTCACCACCCCACCCCCCACCCCCCACACCCCCCAGGCTGCCCCCCAACATAGAGGCAGACCACGTGGTGTCGTCCCTCTCTCTCTAGACGAGATGCTCACCACCCCACTCCCCCACCCCCCCCCCCCCCACCCCCAGGCTGCCCCCCAACATAGAGGCAGACCACGTGGTGTCGTCCCTCTCTCTCTCTCTAGACGAGATGCTCACCACCCCACCCCCCACTCCCCCCCTCCACCCCCCAGGCTGCCCCCCAACATAGAGGCAGACCACGTGGTGTCGTCCCTCTCTCTCTCTAGACGAGATGCTCACCACCCCCACTCCCCCCCTCCACCCCCCAGGCTGCCCCCCAACATAGAGGCAGACCACGTGGTGTCGTCCCTCTCTCTCTACGAGATGCTCACCACCCCACCCCCCACCCCCCACACCCCCCAGGCTGCCCCCCAACATAGAGGCAGACCACGTGGTGTCGTCCCTCTCTCTCTCTAGACGAGATGCTCACCCCCCCACTCCCCCCCTCCACTCCCCAGGCTGCCCCCCAACATAGAGGCAGACCACGTGGTGTCGTCCCTCTCTCTCTCTCTAGACGAGATGCTCACCCCCCCACCCCTCCACTCCCCACCTCCACCCCCCAGGCTGCCCCCCAACATAGAGGCAGACCACGTGGTGTCGTCCCTCTCTCTCTCTCTATACGAGATGCTCACCACCCCCACTCCCCCCCTCCACCCCCCAGGCTGCCCCCCAACATAGAGGCAGACCACGTGGTGTCGTCCCTCTCCGCCGACGGGGTCCTCACGGTGGAGGCGGCTCTCCCGTTGCCAGCGGCGGCGGCGGCGGCCGGGGACGCCGCCGGCGGCGGCCACGCCGTGCCCATCCGCTTCGAGACCACCGCACGCATCGGCCTGCCGGGCACCGCGACCGGCACCGTGCCGGGCACCGCGACCGGCACTACCGCGACCGGTGGGACTGCGGGCACCGCGGCCAAGGCGGGCAAGGCCTGAGACACCAGCCGGCCCTCCATCACTAGCACCACCACTACAGCCATCACGACCACTCACCATTACTACCACTACAACCACCACTACAACCACCACTACCACTCACCACTAGCAGCACCACCACTACAACCACTACTATTACCACCACTACAACCACTACCACCACTAGCACCACCACTACGACCACTACCACCGCCACTATCACTACCACCACCACTACCACCATCACTACCACCGCCACTACCACCAATATCACCACCACTATCACCACCACTATCACCACCACTAGCACCATCACCACCATCACCACTACCACCACTACCACCACCACTACAACCACCACCATCACTACCACCGCCACTACTACCACCACTAGCACCACCACTAGCACCACCACTACCACCGCCACTACCACCACCACCACTACCACCACCACCACTAGCACCACCACTACAACCATCATCACCACCACCATCATCACAACCACCATCATCATCACCACCATCATCATCACAACCATCATCATCACCACCACCATCATCATCACCACCACCACCACCATCATCATCACAACCATCACCACCACCACCATCACAACCATCACCACCACCACCACCATCATCATCACAACCATCACCACCACCACCATCACAACCACCATCACCACCACCATCATCACCACCACCATCACAACCACCATCATCATCACAACCACCATCATCACCACCACCACCATCATCATCACAACCACCATCACCACCACCATCACCACCACCATCACCATCATCACCACCACCACCCTCCACCCACCCCTTGCCCCCAGAGGCCACGTGAGCTACACGGGTGATCTTTGTCTACACGCGGCTTTGTGTGAAACCGGTAACCGATTAAAGCAGCAGCAACAAAAAAACCGGTTTCCATCGATCTCTGTTGCTTCAATACCACAGAAAGAGAGCACCACAATCACCACAACCACCACAACCACCACCACAACCACCATCACCACAACCACCACCATCACAACCACCACAACCACCACCACAATCACCACCACAACCACCATCACCACCACCATCACAACCACCACAACCACCACAACCACCACCACAATAACCACCACAACCACCATCACCATAACCACCACCATCACAACCACCACAACCACCATCACCACAACCACCATCACAACCACCAACATCACCACAATCACCACAACCACCACAACCACCACCACAATCACCACCACAACCACCACCACAACCATCACCACAACCACCACCATCACCACAACCACCACAACCACCACCACAATCACCACCACAACCACCATCACCACCACCATCACAACCACCACAACCACCACCACAATAACCACCACAACCACCATAACCACCACCATCACAACCACCATCACCACAACCACCATCACAACCACCACCATCACCACAATCACCACAACCACCACAACCATCACCATAACCACCACCATCACAACCACCACAACCACCATCACCACAACCACCATCACAACCACCACCATCACCACCACCACAATCACCACCACAACCACCATCACCACAACCACCACAACCACCACCACAATCACCACCACAACCACCATCACCACCATCACCACAACCACCACCATCACCACAACCACCACAACCACCACCACAACCACCTTCACCACCACCATCACAACCACCACAACCACCACCACAACCACCATCACCATAACCACCACCATCACAACCACCACAACCACCATCACCACAACCACCATCACAACCACCACCATCACCACAATCACCACAACCACCACCACAATCACCATAACCACCACCATCACAACCACCACAACCACCATCACCACAACCACCATCACAACCACCACCATCACCACCACCACAATCACCGCCACAACCACCATCACCACAACCACTACCATCACAACCACCACCATCACCACCACCATTACAACTACCACAACCACCATCACCACCATCACCACTGTCACAACTACCACAACCACCACCACAACCACCACCACAATCACCGCCACAACCACCATCACCACAACCACTACCATCACAACCACCACCACCATCCCAACTACCACACCCACAACCACCATCACCACTATCACCACAACCACAACCATCACCACAACCACCATCACAACCACCACCATCACCACAACCACCACAACCACCACCACAATCACCATCACCACAACCACTGCCATCACAACCACCACAACCACCATCACCACAACCACCGCCATCACAACTACCACAACCACCATCACCACTATCACCACCATCACAACCAGCACCATCACCACTACCTCCATCATCACAACCTCCATCACCACAACCACCACCATCATCACTATCACCACAACCGTCACCACAACCTCCATCACTTTCACCATCACCACCATCACCACTATCACTACTACCATCAACACAATCACCACCACTATCACCACAACCATCACCACAACCCCCATCACATGCGGAGCCCAAATGTGGTCTCAGTAAAGGGCAGTCCTGCAGAGATGCAATATTTTACTGTCCGTCTGCTACAGAAGTGGCGTCCAGAATTCGAACACGTCCCAGAACAGCTCCGCTTTATTGACCTGGTCAAGGCCTATGATACCACCAGCAGGCCTGGGTTGCTGTTCGTGCTTTCGGCGTCCCAGACTCTCTGCTCTCAATCATTAAGGACCTTTATAATGGTGGGCAGGCCCGGGTAAAACCACGTGGCTGAGAGTGGGAGCCATTCCCTGTTCACCTTGGGGTGCGACGGGGATGTCCTCTGGCTCCAACATTATTCAATATCTATTTAAACCACGTAGTTCGTGAAGCCTTTGATGGCTGTGAACTAGCGGAATTTCCGTCTGGTACAGATACAATGGGAGGCTGGCTGATCGATGCCCGGGTGCGGTCAAGGGATGGCTCCCCATTGGTCAACCATGTTTTGCACGCTAATCGTCTGGTGATTGCTGCTCACTCAGGGAGGAATTTTGACCAAAAAACTTTCGCAACTGCTGGAATTCACATTCCTGGTTCTTGCAGTAAAGTCACGTAGATATAAAAAACAGTAAATGGAAACTAATAAAAGCAAAAAAACCCGCACGACGTTTCAATCGCAACACAAGCGGTCTTCATCAGGCAGAGAGAAAAGCTTTTTTTTATATAATTTAACAATTGTTTACATCATTAGACCTCCTTTGCCAGTACCAAAACGCAATAATAGGGTTTTTTCTGGCAATAAAACTGAAACCTTTTTACAAGGATTCATGCTTACTGCATTAACCTACAATACCTGCAGTCAAAATGCTCACAAATAAAATACTATGATAATATATGTGGCATTGTCCTTGAAACTGATTGGTCCACACCAAAGGGACGGCTTTCTTTTGAGCCTCGACCCAATTGGTGCTCGACCAGACGACGCCAAAAGGCGTCACACAGCTCAAAGACAACGCCACTAGCAAAGTAATGAGGGCTCGGGGTGAGCATCTACATCATCATTAGAACTCCTTTGCCAGTACCAAAATGTAATAATAACAGGGTTTTTCCCCTTTTTTCTGGCAATAAAACTGAAACCTTTTTAAAAGGATTCATGCTTACTGCATTAACCTACAATACCTGCAGTGAAAATTACTTTGATAATGGCGTTGTCTTTGAGCTGTGTGACGCCTTCTGGCGTCATCTGGTCGAGCACCAATTGGGTCGAGGCTCAATAGAAAGCCGTCCCTTGGTGTGGACCAATCGGTTTCAAGGACAATGCCGCATATATTATCATAGTATCTTTTTTGTTTGCATTTTGACTGCAGGTATTGTGGTTAATGCAGTGAAATGAATCCTTGTAAAAAAAGGTTTCAGTTTTGTTGGCAGAAAAAAGGGGAAAAATCCTATTATTAAAAATTGTTATTTCATCATTTTTATTTTCTATCTAGGCGACTTACCGAAAGAACCAAACACACTCTGGAGGAGTTGGAGACGCTGCTGCTGAGACTGGAGCGTGCCACTAAGAGGTGGGGCCTTACCATCAGCCCCACCAAAACTAAGCACCTGCCTGGGTATTTTGTACCATCGGACACTCCACCCCCACAACTCCCAATCGGTGATGGGGCAGTTGTGGAGACAGTGGACAGTTTCCCATACCTGGGCAGTGTGCTCATGATCGGCTCTGGTTTGACAGCAGAGGTCTCACTCCGAATCAGTCGAGCAGCAGTATATTTTAATCGGTTGCATAACGCTGTGTGGAAGCTACCTGGTCTGTCGCTCCGCACTAAGCTTCAGGTCTTCTCGGCCACGGTCATTCCCTCCTTTCTCTATGCTTGCGAAACGTGGACCCCCCCAAAGGAACATCTTCACTGCTTAGAAACATTTAGGCTGGCCTGCCTACGATCCTAGGTCTAACCAGGCTGGATTGAGGACCTCCCAAATCCTAAAAAAGATCTGGACAAAGTCCCATCAGTGAGCTCTTCCGGCAGGCAAAGCTGTCAGTTTAACACGTAGTTCTTTCGCAACCAATATTATTCATAATAAAGGTTTTTAGGTTAGATCGCGTTATTTATAAATGTGTCGTAACCCTCCACCACCCGACACGGCCAATCAGCAAAAAGGCTGGGTCAAGTCGCCAGCATTTCCAGCCACCGCATGCCTAAACAATTTTTTGTTTGGGCGGACGGAGGCACAGCACAGGCTAGCGAAGAGATGGAGTGATGTGGCGCAAGAGGACACGGAGCCGAGTGGATATACCGATGACTGTTACCAGCGGTGTCAAGATCGGCCTCTGTGGAGGAGGCTCGTGAAGGATGCTACTGGGCAGTTGGAGGTAGTCGCCCTCCAACAACAACGGAGGGCGGAGGAGCGACGCTCATAACAACGAGCGGAGCGTTGGGTGGCTAAAGCACAGCAGGTTGGCGCAGTAGGGGGCACGGGTGGTGCATCAGCCAGTCATCTCAGTCATCTCAGTCAGTCGATCCATGGCGCCCGCTGGGTCCATCCCGTGACCTCCTGCCAGCGGGCACGTTCGACACGTCGCGTGGACTTAACGTGCACATAGCCTGGCACAAGCGTCGTGGTGACGTCACCATGTAGTGGCAAATGACTTGTTGCTGTTGTTGCA